TGGATGGATGGATGGATGGATGGATGGATGGATGGATGGATGGATGGGTGGGTGGGTGGACGGACGGACGGACGGACAGACAGACAGACAGACAGACAGATAGATAGATAGATAGATAGAAGCAAATACAAATTAATATAAAGTAAGAAAAAAGCAAAGAGAAAGAAAAAGTATAGGAAAGGGGGGGAAAGGAAAGCTAAAGAAAAATAGAAAAGAAAGAAAAAGAATAGTGACTTCTGATATTCTTCATAGCAGTTATAAGTACAATTATATTTTAATCTCTCTCTCTAAAATTACATCATAATGCCCTTCTTTCTATAATCTAGCCCGTGTAATCATCACAGCCATAAATCACAAGTTCATTTTTTTTCATTTCTGTACAAAAAAATGATAAAGAGATTTCCAGTCACCACTTTTATAGGAAGTATTCTCGATTTCTCTTCTAACCTATAGCTTTTGGGTTTCCTTGAAGCCCCCAATATAAATGCTAATCAGCTCTGATCCTGCTTACCTTTTTCAGATCACCCAAGATCAGTTTGGTAATCTTACCCAGCTGGGTAAAAGCTGCTGTATTAAAAACTTAAAGCCTTAGTAAGACCACACCTAGAGTACTGCATCCAGTTTTGGTCACCACATTATAAAAAAGATGTTGAGACTCTAAAAAAGTACAGAGAAGAGCAACCAGGATTAGGCGACTGGAGGCTAAAACACACAACAAACAGTTACAGGAACTGGGCTTCGCTAGTCTAGTAAAGAGAAGGACCAGGGGAGACATGATAGTGATCTTCCAATATTTGAGGGGCTGCCACAGAGAGGAAGGAGTCAATCTATTTTCTAAAGCATCTGTAGGCCAGACAAGGAGTAATGGATGGAAACTGAACAAGGAGAGATTTAACCTGGAAATAAGGAGAAACTTTCTGACAGTGAGAACAATCAACCAATGGGACAGCTTGCCCTCGGAAGTTGTGGGAGCCCCATCACTTGAGACTTTCAAGAAGAGGTTCGGTTCCCATTTGTCAAAAATGGTGTAGGGTCTCCCGCTTGGGCGGGGGGTTGGACTAGATGACCTACAAGGTCCCTTCCAACTCTGATTATCTGTATCAGATTCTTGTAACAATGAAATGTTGGTAGTATATATTTGATTACATTGCAATCAATTTCTTTTTATACATCCGATGATTTTTTATTCCTTCCAGCTATGGCTCCACTGATCTCAGCGGCTTACAAAAAAACATACTTACACTGCACTATAATCACCCGACATCTGCAAATTCTGAAAATATCATTTTTGCTTCCATAACAGAACTTTTCTGCCCCCCCATACCACAGTGGTTTACCTTTGAAATACAGGTCTGACCCTGCTTAGCTTTCTAGCCCAAACAAGTCTGGCTAGATATTGCCTCTCATAAGTCCAAATATATGTATGTATGTCTTCATTTAAATCCATCCAGGAAAGGAATGGGTTGATGGAAAGGAAAATATGAATTTGTAGTAGGTAAATATAACTGCAGTCCATCCCAACATCTCCTTCCAGAAGCAATTTTCCCTTATATAAACATGCTTTTAAACTAACATTTAAATGCATTTGTATTCTATAATTTGCAGGCTCCTGTATAATGCTGGAGTCCCCATTCAAGCGATCAATGACTTGAGTGCCACCATACAGACATACGAAGTCGCTCTCTTATAGAAAGTTAAACCATTTGGACCATCTTGCGCAGGATTGTTCCCCAAGAATATGCAACTGCAACTCTGTGTGTTCAGTCAGCAAAGAATTGCAAATTAAGAAGCAAAATAAGTACACTAAGAACACACTTATTTGAGTTTGTTTTTTTTAATAATCTAGACAGCCTAATACAGGAGGGAGATGCAGGGAATTGTGCTGCTGCCTTTTTCAGTAGTGCACCCTGCGCTTTTGGTCCTATTGTCCCCATTTATTCGTACCTATTTCCTGTATTCTTACTCATGTTTATACTGTTATCTTGTAAGCGATTGACAAATCAAATAAATAAAAAGTGTTGCCCTGGCTGCAGAAGGCTTGCTTGGCCCTGGTCCATCCCAATTGTCACAATTCTCCAGGGCTTCCAACTTGCCACTCCAGATTCTTTAAAGCTGAAGATGTTACAGATAGACGAGATGAGAGCTTTCATCATGCAAAGTGTCACGAAACAGTGCCCTAAATCTTGCTTTTGTGTGCAGATGTATCTGTGGGTAATAAAATAAAACCTATTCTGAAATTATGGGGAAACTAACATCGTCAGGGTGCATAGCATTTCACGGAGAATAACACTGCCTTGAGACTTTGCAATCTCAAGGTTGGCTCAGGTGAGATAACAGAAATCAAAATGTGAAAATTAGGAAGCACTAACTAAGTTGGAGAAGGGGAATCAAGACTTAGTTGTAATTAAGTTAAAATAAGTTAGGAAGGACATTAATGCCAAACTCTTTACTGAAAACATGCATTTTGAGAAGACATTTGTAGCATATGTAGGGATCAGAGGTGGTATTCAGCAGGTTCTGACCAGTCTGGAGAACCGGTAGCGGAAATTTTGAGTAGTTCGGAGAACCGGCAAATACCACCTCTGGCTGGAGATTTTACGGTATCCTTCCCCTGCCACGCCCACCAAGCCACGCCCACAGAACTGGTAGTAAAAAAAATTTGAATCCCACCACTGGTAGGGATATCTAGCAAGTATTCTGGGAGGCTGTTTCAAGTAAGAGAAAGGAAGGAAGGGTTGTTTGAAAGATAGAAAATCTTGGATGGTATTATTAAAAAGTAAAGTTCATAAGCTGGAGCATATTTGGTTGGTGGAAAGAGAAGAACTGGTTGTGTCGTGTCCGTCGCGGAAAGGAAGCTCGGAGTCAGTGACTTAGTTTCAGCTCTTTATTGGCTCCGGGTACAGCTTAAGCTTGAAGGGAAAAACGGCGGCTTTTTATTTCCGAGCCGCGGCGGCCGCGGCCAATGACACCGCTTCGAATCTCCCGCGATTAGTTTCCACCAATCGCGGGGGATTCGCAACGGACCAATCAGTGCAGCTCGCTCGACCAATCCGGTCGCCGCGCGCTTTAGCCAATCGCGACGCGGGGCTACGAGTATGTAAATTGACTTGTACAGAACACCCCTCCCCTCTTGGTTCGGTCCTACGTAACGTAGTCCCGTAGGTAGGCGGGGCTTCGTACTTGTCTACTTGACTTGCGCAGCTTAGTTGTTGTTTGGCTCCCGGCCGGTTCGGTCGGGACTTCTGTTTCTCTTGGCCCTGTCGATGGAACCCCCTGGAAGGTGTTGCTGGGCCTCTTGTTGCAGCTCCCTCCCGGTCTACCCGGGTTGGTCGAGCTGCGACTTTCGCCGCTCCTGCCTGGTCTTTCCGGGCTGGTTGAGCTGGCCTGGCTGTTTCTTCCTGGTGAGACTTCGGGCTGGCTGTTGACTGGTGAGTATTGCTGGTTATTTCCTATTTGATCCCCTGTATCTTCCCTCCCCTCTTGGTTTGTGTTATCGGGGTCGTCTGTGTTTGGTTGCGTGTTGGTTGTGTTTTTTGTTCTTGATCTTATTTGATCGATGTGGCGTTTCCATGTTTGTCCGTCGGTTGTCTGTAGCCGGTAGGAGTGGGGTCCTGTCAGTTGGGTTATAGTTGCCGGTACCCATAGTGGGTCTCCGGTAAGGTTTTTTGCATAGACTGCGTCGCCTGGTGCAAAAACCCGGTGCTTGCTAGATGAGTCCGGGGGTTTTTCCGGGTTGTATGTGGGGTGTAGTCTGTCGAGTGGTGACCTTAGTTTTCTCCCCATTAGTAATTCTGCCGGGCTTTTGTTTGTCGTTGTGTTTGGGGTGATATGTTGTATTAGGAGCATTTTATTTATTTTTTCTTGTATGTCCCCGTGTTCGATCTTTTGGAGGGTTCCTTTTGTAAATTGAACCATCCGTTCTGCCCTACCATTGGCCGCCGGATGCGCCGTCGCTGTCAGTGCGTGTCGTATGCCTCGTTCCGCTAGGAATCTTTCGAATTCCAGCGAGGTGAACTGGGGTCCGTTGTCTGACACGATGACATCCGGGAGACCGTGGGTTGCGAAAAGTTTGTTTAAGACCTTGGTTACCGCATCTGTTGTGGTGGTCTTCATGTTGCTTACCTCCAGCCAGTTGGAGTAAGCATCCACCGTGATGAGGAATGTGTTCCCTTTTGTGGGCCCGGCAAAATCTATATGGAGTCTCGACCATGGTCCCCTGGGCGTTTCCCATTCTAATATTGGTGCTGCGGGGGGATTTGGTCTGGTTTCTTGGCAGCGCGAGCACTTGGCTACCCAGGCCTCGATCTCCTTGTCCATACCTGGCCACCAAGCATAGC